CAACTGCACCTAGTTCTCAACTCAAAGAATAGAGTTGAAGGGCACATACAAGCATCTAGATACTGACATTCTCTCCCTCTTCAGGTCAATACCATTGGGTCGCCGCACTATGCCCACCATCGACTCGATCCGCGGCCGCATTCACAACCGGATGGATTTCTGTGGGCGGCCAGGTCGTTCTGACCTCCTCGGCCGCCTTCGCTGCCGGTCTCCAGACTCAGGCCCTCATTATCCTCAACGATGATTCGTATATCCCACAAAGGTGGCAGGGCATGCTGTTCTACTGGGCGATCTTGGTATACGGCATGGTTATGAACATCTGGGGCCACAGACTCCTCCCCACCGCCAATCTTTTGTCGGGTAAGTAACTGAGCATCCTTGCTTCGAAAATGGGAATTATAGCTTACAACTCTAGGTGTCCTCCATGTTATTGGTTTCCTCTCAATCCTGATTGTCTTGGGCGTTATGGCGCCCAAGAACTCCGCCTCCTTTGTCTTTACGGAGTTCGTCAATTCCAGTGGCTGGGAAAGTGACGGCGTCTCCTGGCTTGTCGGTCTCATCAGCGCCGTCTACCCCTTCCTCGGGTACGCTCAATTTCACCCTCTCCGCGGTCTTACATAGACTAACACATCTAAACAGCTACGATGCCGCATGCCACTTGGCCGAAGAAATGCCCAACGCAAGTCGCAACGTCCCCATCGCCATGGTCGGCAGCGTCGTCGTCAACGGCATCATGGGCCTCGTCTACGGCACCGTCCTCCTCTTCTGCACGGGTCCACTCGAAGCCCTCCTCTCAACCCCGACAGGATTCCCCTTTATGCAAATCTTCATGGACGTGACAAAGTCCAACGGCGGCGCGACCTTCATGTCCCTCATGATCATCCTCACTGCCGTCGCCGCCACCGTCGCCGGCATCACGTCCACCTCGCGGACGCTGTGGGCTTTCGCCCGAGACAAGGCCACGCCTTACGATCACTACCTCAGCAAGGTCAACAAGCGCCAGCAGATCCCCGTACACTCAGTCGTTCTCGTCACGGTCCTCCAGATGCTGCTTGGATTCATCTACCTCGGTAACACGACAGCCTTCAACGCGATTCTGTCTATGGCTATCATCGGAATGTACCTAAGCTACATCATTCCCATCGTGTACATGCTGGTGCACGGAAGAAAGAACTTGAGCCGTTCTGACTATGGCCCCTTCAAGCTTGGTCCCGTCGTGGGACCCGTCTTGAACGTCATCAGTCTAATCTGGATGACTGTGGTGATCATCTTCAGCACCTTCCCCTCAGCGATGCCTGTTACCCCGCAGAACATGAACTACTCGATTGTTGTAATGGCTGGGTGGCTGACCTTCGGCGTGGTCTACTACATCTCGTTCGGGCGGAAGAAGTTTGAGGTGCCGGCGGTTGATAACGTTGTAACTGGGGTCTCCGTTCACACAGACCTTGTTGTCTAGGAATAGATAGGTACGCGGGAAGCAAGAGTTGGAGTTCGAGTAGATGTAGAACGATGAAAACCTAGGTCTCTTAGGATTGTGTATCAAATCAACCCCTGAAATCGTCGTGAAATCTCCTCCGGATCCCCTAGTGACATCCCCTGATCATTCCCTCCAAAGAAACCGACGGGAAAGTCCGACGGCGCCGGATGCCCAGCATTCGCATGTCCAAACGCATCGAAAAGGTTCATCAGATCATTACCCATGTTAAACATATCTGGCATGGAGCTTGCTGTCGGTGGCCCAGCCTCATACGCATCCCACGTGGCTTCCGTCCGCCTTCCGTCGCGCTCGCTCTGGCCGACAGTCTGCTCCAATCCATTGGCGTGATTTTCATTCTGTTCCATCTCTCCGTTCTCTACAGGTTGGGGGGCATCGCCCTTCTCAGGATCGCTGCGCAGACCCAATGACTTGATGCTAGGCATGAGGCCTCGAATCGTCTTCCACAGCCTCCGACTAGCATGCCCGTGACGAGAGAACCCCTTGACCAGCTGTACAGCTTTCAGAAATTTCTCCTTGCAAGGCTCTGTAAAGACACCTGGTGCGTGACACACAGCCAGGAGGATCACCGCCAAGGCACTCATCAAGAAGTAGTTGAAAGCGTGCTGCTGCCGCGCGTAGATGTCGCTCGTCTCGTTCAAGTGGACAAGTACTTGTATCGTGTCGAGGGCAATCTCAGTGACGAGCTTCGCGCTCTGCATGTCTGCTTTGATACTGGCGGTGCTCAGGACGTGGTGGCGGTGGATGAGCGTGCGCATGTGGTTTCCTCGCAGATAGAGCAGGGTACGGAGGCGATGCACGCTGCGTGGCTGAATCCTGGGAGCAAGGCCAAGCCTTGGATGCCGAAGCTGCAGATCTTCTGGTATCGCGTTGAGCCAGTTCAGCGTCATGAAGTCGAGGAACGCCACTGTATCTTTGGGGATAAATTGCGATGGTGACTCAAAGGGCGGCAGTGCCTCCCAGACTTTGGAACAAAGCCTCCCGTAGGCAACCATGCATCTCAGGTACGGATACTCGTCTCCCTTAAGCAATCCCAGTCAGCATTGATGTCTGTGAAAATTTGATAGAAGAATAGAGTAACTCACCGGCTCCGGCAGCTCGGGGTCGATGTCGCGATCGATGAGACCGAAAGACAGACTCGTGCCGAAGCTCCATCGGCGATCTAGTACATAAACACACCAGAAGCATCGCAGGGCCCAGTCTCTTTCCTTGGGATCCTTGAAGTTCTCGAGAAGAATGGCGCGGCGATGAAGGCCGATTTCCAGAACTTCCCGCCCAGAGATTCCGATGGATCTCCAGGCCAGCAGCTCTTCGCCGCAGTGGAACCAGTAAATACTCTAATGTTGAGTTAGCAAAGGATCGAAGGCCTCATGACCACCGAAAACAGGCCATAGGAGACACGGAACTCACCAGCATAGTCATGATCTGGAGCTCTTTCAGGTCAATGAAGGCTTCCCCAGACACACGGCACACGATTGGCTCCACCGCATCAACCAGCTTTGTGCTAATTGCATTTTGTCCCTGAGCCTCCATCACTATAGAGGTAGCAATCGCAACCTTCACGATTTGAACATCCTTGAGCTCAATCTTGGGTCGATCTCCGGCAGCGATCAAGTCTGCTCCCGCTGACGGGTTTTGCTGGGTCCTGACAAAGTCGAGAATATGCGGCAAGTTCGCAGAGACATCGTTCATATTGGTAAAGGGGTACACAGACTCAACATCATCCTGATAGACATCAAGCAGCCGAAGAATCTCGTCAGCCTCGAACGTCAACAGGCAATCCAAATCTTTCTGCGACGACGACGGCGATGCAGGACGGTCCGAGACCTCGGATGCCGCCCTCGCAGAGGCAGCTGGTGATGCGGATCTACTGGTCGGTGACGCATCGCGCGTCTGAATGTGCACGCGGGATAGCGAGGATTCCGCGATGCGAAGGCTGAAGGCCGACCGGGTAGGCCCGACAAACTGCGGCTCTCTCGGTTCACTGGGCCTCCGGTTCGATTCGCTCGTGTATAGGGGGCTTGGGTGCTGTGGTCCGCCGAGGGCTGCTGGCGAACGGGTGTTGATTTGCGTGATCTTGCCGGTGAGCTCTCGGAGGGACGATGTGAGGGTAGCGACTTGCTCTCGCAAGGTGGCCACTTCATTGCTCAGATTCTTATACTGCGAGCTGTCATAGTTGTTAGACTTCCAGGCCTGGTCACATAGCACCGGGGCGGCTCATACGGATTGGTCGATTCATCTCTCTCCGTGGTGGTCTCGCGATCTCTCAGCGGCGTCTGCTGCGGACCAGATATAAAGACACACTCGGCACCGTTGGAGAGACATCGCCGGCAAACAACCTGGTGGTCCTCTTTGATGCACTTGAGTTTTCGCTTCTTGCACTCATTGCTTTTACCACATTCAGTCAGCACTTTCCAATGAAGACCGTCTTATCGAGGCGTGGATGTCTTTCTTACCAGGCGACGGGAGTGTACTTGGCCCTCTTGGACCGTTGCACCTCGGCAGATGCAGGCGCAGGGGCAGGACGCTTCTGTACCAATGCGGATCCCGCGGCCGTCGATGGCGGCGTCACGGCCTCCGTCGCGTCCGCGTCCGGGCCCATATTGTATTCTTCGCTTACTGTGTCGCAGCTGGGGGCGCGGTCGCAGGTCCGCGGAACAGATGAGGTTGTTCGGAATCGGTGGGGTTGCGCTGTGGACGTTGGTGGTAAGGAATGGTTCCGAGTTGCGTTGGGGAGGGGGACGTTCCGGCAGTTATTAGTACAGAACGCCTGCCCCCTTATCAGCACGGCCCTTTCGGGCCACTAAATAGGGTCCAGGCACATCGGGATGCGATAGCCATCCCAACTCCGAGTTTCTGCTACTCCAGGCAAAGTAGTTTGAAATTGACGAATGTATAGAAAATATAAGCCGGTCCAGCAGTTATGGCTAAGATTGCCCTGGGAGGTTCTTATCTTCCTCTTTCTTATTCGAAATCAGCTTTGTTATCCGGAGTCTGAAGCTCATTCTACAAAGTATTGGTCTTTGAGAGAGAAATGGAGCGAGTCAGACGTCGTTGACAGGCAGGGCGCTGTTTGCAGCGATCTGATCAATCATTTTCCCCAGCCATATCGACATGACGAGGTGGATTACATGATCATGCTTGTCTCGCATGACCTTTAATAGCGAATGTACGAGCACATGTGCAGGAGTTCAGTCTGGGCACAACGGCCCCGACTGTCTGCCTCCCCCACGCGCCCATCTAGATCCCGCCTACGAGCCTTGTTCCTCAAACCCATCCGTCTGTTCCCTTCTTTTTTTTCCTTTTTCAAGAAACGTGCAATGGAATTATCTAAGTACGAATATGATTTGTATACATCCGTTCCATATCATCGCCCTCTCTTCTATTCATGTTCCCTCGATTTGAGCCAACTAGAACGGTCTATTCATCAGCATCTTCTCATGAGCGTTCACTCGCCTGAAATAAGTTGAAACAAGGTCATAATCACATTTTTTGGGAAACTCTTACATATGTACTCACCTTGAACTATTTTCTAGAACATCAACGGCCCTGTTCAACTATGACATCTCCCCTTTCTTTGCTCTCAATTTTCGAGGATCTCCTTTTCGACTCCGTCCAGAACCAGCCACCGGCGATCAAAAATGTCAAAAACATTAAGGGAAAAGTGACCTGCATGAATCTAGCAAGCGCAGGCCATGAGAAGCTTTCGCCGTCTTGGTACTTGATGATGTCTGTACTGAAGAACGTCTAAGTTTGTGTATCTTTTGTCAACAAATCGAGGCTCCAAATGGGACTGACATGATCATGATTCATGAGTCGTCATTATGCCCGAGGATGATTGGTGTACTCACGCTAGAAAAGGTTGCAGGAAGGTAAATCAAGGTGACGACGGTTATAATTCGCATCGCAACTGCTTCCGTGGCGCTCTGGTTGGCTTGCTCGAACATCCTGGTGTTCAACTTATAAGCAACTTCAGCAGTTTGACCTTGAAGATGTTGCATCAGCTGCCAGACAAAACTGTCAGTTTCCACGGACAAGTTTGTCTGAAGTACCCGGGTTTCTTACTGATGCTTTCCTATTTGCTATTACTTTCACCAGCACCTTTGCCCTCGAGACAAGCATTTCGGCCTCGTCGATGACCTCATCGACTTGCAGAGCATAGTTACTGACTTCCTGCTGGCAAGCCCATCGCTCTCGGTTAGGGAAGTCGTCATCACGCACGAGTCCTTTGTAGAACTCCCTTAGCAGCTTCAAGATGCTGACATTGGAAGCCATTATCATCACAGTCTCGTTTGTTTTATCCTCCCACTTTTGCACTTGGCCAAGAGTGGCTGAAGTAAAATTCTCCTGGGCTGAAGTCTTTTCGATGTAGACAATATTTAGAGTCTATTTCTTCCAAGTTAGAAGTTATTGACGAGGTTATAAGGGAAACATTGTGCAGGATCCTACCAGGTCGTCGATCGTCTTTTCAAAGTCTTGCACAGTCCATCTCCATCGAGACGTGGCCCATCTCGCTAGCACTAGGTGTGCGTCAAGGGACGATCTCAGGGCTTGGTCGATTGTTTCAAACTTGCGCTGGTGAGTGGTTTTCTCGTGAAGAAGATCTCCAATGAGTGTCTTTGCTACTCCGTGAGTATCGCCAATCATTCAAAGCTGAACCCCGGAACCAACATCGAAGTGATGATAGATTGCGTATTGCTCGAACTTCCAGGTCTTATTGACTTCTCCAAGCCTAGCCGCCTTGAGGTTATAGCTCAGTTGGAAAAGCCTCCCACTGCGATCCATTACAGGAATACACATCGCTGGTGTCGGGTTCTTTAGCACCTTCTTGCTTCTGAACCCACTGAATCGTAAGTTTGCAGACTCGCTGTTAGGAGACCCATACAAACATATGAAGTCGGCGAAATGGGGCATGACTTGATAGAAAGTCAACAAGCGCATCAGCATTGTACCCGATAGTTCCAGGGGAGCCACTGAGCTCTCCGTGATGAAAAAGCTAATATCAGATGATAAGCGGCTGCCAGAAATTGCATCTAGCGAGACAATAGAGACTCACACGAAACGACACTTGGTGTCTTTTTGTGCAGAAATTGTGTCCTGTGACTGAGGTGTCCTCGTTCCATTTATCGGAAGTGGCGTAGAGGCTTGCTGGGAGTGGCCGAGAAGCTCTTTCAAGTAATTGTCGCCGAGGATATTGACCTTGGTGACCACTCCTTCAGCTGAAACATCACGTATCGGTACTTTGATTCTGTGAAGATCTTCTATGAAGCGGAACTCTCCTCCACTTGATAGTCTTTTCCTGTAGTCCTGCAGTACTCCTTGTCCGTAGGACTTGGCCTCGATGTGATTAAGGGGGAAAGAATTGAATTCGCGATATGACTGTTCAAACTCCGGCGGGAGCGTGTTTGAGCTCGTCATGTTGAGTTTGAAAAGCTTGAAAACATGGTTTGCCCGTACGTAATTGTCCGGGAAACTGCTTCGACTGAGTCTGGATTGTCAGTGTGGGGGAAAAGCAAGTAAGAGGTATATGATTCACGCGAAAACCCGCTCTGCCGGTGAAGTTCTGGGGAAAATTGAAGGTCACAATGAACTCAGCATAAGATTTGCTGTCCGGTGGATAGGGCTTTTGAGGAATATTTCGTGTGAGCTACCTTCGTCCTCCATTCCAGCCGGTTCCACAGGAAGCAGGCTCTGAGAGACCGCCGCTCGAAATGCAGGCTGCGGCGTTCATGTCGGCTTCACCACCCCTAGCATATCACGAGGCGTATACATGCAGAAGTTCAATATTATGTACCTCAGACCAATTACGAGCTACCGACTTTATGCAGCTATGCACACCCTCGTAACGTCTCGGCGGACTCAGTATCATTTCATTGTGTAATATGTGTTCAGTGACATGAAATTTCTACTGGTAGGTAATCTTTCCGCCATCTCTTGCTGAGAGTGAGGTATCTGCGTCACGGATCAGGAGAATGCTTATCCCTTGCCCTCTGTCTGGCTAGATCATCCTCGTGGCGTTCTCTCAAGCCATCAATCTCTTGCTTGTCTTTCTGCGTAAAAGATTAGATCGTTTTATCACTGGTTGCTTGCATTTTCTGACATTATTAGAATCTCGGCATACTTACCTCGGAAAGTCGTTTCGGAACACGAAAGATGAATGAGTCTGAGTTCAGATACTGCGATAACCTCATCAGCAAGAGTTGTCAACAACGCTCAATATTCTGTTCTTCTGCAAACGAACCAGCTTTTGACTTAAGTACGCCTCGCCTCCCTCGTTTTTGAAGCGGTTGATTAGCCATTCTCGTAGCCTTGGCTCTCTCAAGTTGTACGCTGAGACGTTATCCATCACCCAATCATCTGGTGGCTGTGTTACCGAATTTGCCGTTGAGTCCCTTCTTTGGTTTCTCTGGAAGAAGCTCCACGTCCTCTTTGGCTCGACTTGCTCTGAGGTATCGTCGGATCTCCCCCAGCTGAATTTTCTAAACATGATTTTAAAAGTTTAATGTCCCAAGCTAATTTTGCCTGGTGAATAAGGGGTGGTGAAGTGTAGTGATGGTCGCCACCGAGGCTATCGCTAGCAGGCAGCAGGAGGAGGAGCAAGCTCGCTCTCGGGGCAGAGATTGAAGGGAAAATGCCGGGCTTAAGAGCGGAAGGCCGCCTAGGATTATTGGTCACTAATTGTGAGACTCACAACACTGCCCTCCGAGTGAAATCCAGCCCAATTTGTCCAGAACCAATAAGATAACGCACATGCAGTGTGTGTGGTGACACCACATTCACTTCTTACAATTTTGGTAGGATAAGAGCATGCCCCGTACAGGCAGGCTCTCAATTCATGCGTGTCTCTTCCTTACCGGACAGAAAGTACTGCCATGCATGCTTGCGTAGCTCAGGTGAGATGGCATGACGGGTCTGGAAATACCCGTGGGCCGTTGGACATTATCGAAAGACACTCTCGCTCTCACCCTAACAGTTATGGCGCCAAGAACCACCGTGGCCGCCCTCTTCGCAGAGCACAGTGCATCTCAGGGTGAAGAAAAACAAGGCTTCCATTTCATTATGGCCGTGTGCTGAGATGACTACTCTCCATATTCTATAAGGCAGTTTTCTGTCGCGGTTCAACTTGAGTGTGCAGTCCCAGATGAGTACCTTGGTGAAGGAGATTACTGCTTACCTAAGGTAAGTAAGGAACTCCATTTAAGCGGGGGAGGGGCAGAGCGGCAGGTGGGTCGAGCGGTGTGAGTAGAAAGCGCAGGACCCTTAGATTCTTATCGCTCTTTCTGCAATTCCTTATCGAAGATACGCTAGGCTTAGGTGAGAGCAGTTTCGTCAGGTCCCTGTTTGTTCCAGAAATTTTCCCTTTTGACATCACTCGCTCTTCACCACGGCATTCGAGAATCTTCGCCGTTTGAGCACAGAAACCAAAGCAATCCCCATATATCGACATCATGGATCGCAGAGGCAGAGGATCCAACCAGAAGCGCGGTCCTAGACGTGACCGCCGCGATGCGCCGTACAACGAGTCCCCTAGATCGGGCCAGCCCGCCCCGGCGCCGGTAGCATCAGCAACAGCAGCCGCCCAGTCGACGGCGCCGCCTCTCACCGAGCCCGTTCCCCAAGACACACCGAGATTCGCCGATATGGTTGGCGTTGACCAGTCTCTGGTCCAAGCCATCACCCAAGACCTCAAGTTCGACCACATGATGCCCGTTCAGGCCGCTACCCTGGGCGAGCTCCTCCCTCCCAAGCGTGGCGATTGCCTTGTCCAGGCGAAGACGGGTACGGGCAAGACGATTGCCTTCCTCCTTCCCGCCATCCAGACCCTCATCACGAACAACCGCGGCCGCGGCGCCGGCATCTCCCTGCTCGTCATCTCTCCTACCCGCGAGCTCGCCATGCAGATTGCCAAGGAGGCCGAGGCCCTCCTCCAGCGTTTGAAGCAATACCGCGTATGCATCGCCATCGGAGGCACAAACAAGGATCGCGAGGAGAAGCAGATCCTCAACGGCTGCGATATCCTCATCGCCACCCCCGGCCGTCTGATCGATCACATGTCGAACGAGTATATCAAGGATGCCTTCCGCCACCTCGACACCCTCGTCCTCGATGAAGCCGATCGCCTCCTCGACATGGGCTTCATGCCCGCCCTCAAGGACATTGTCCGCGCCCTCCCCGACAAGACAAAGACAAACCGCCAGGGCATGCTCTTCTCTGCCACCATCGCCTCCCACGTCGAACAGGTCGCCGGCCTCGTCCTCTCCCAGGGCTACAAGTTCATTTCCACCATCCCGGCCGGTGAGGCAAACACCCACGAGCGCGTGCCCCAGCACCTCATTAAAGTGCCCACCTTCGCCGCTGTTGCCCCCGCCATGGTTGGCGCCATCCGCGAGGAGGCAGCCCATGTCGGCCCGGAGACTTTCAAGGCCATCATCTTCGCCCCGACGGCTGCGCTTGCCGACTTCTACGGTGACGTTCTCACAAACGTGCCCGGCATGCCCCCAACTGCCGTCCTGCACTCCCGCATCTCCCAGAGCAAGCGTACAAAGACTACAAACGACTACCGCGACTCCAAGTCTGGTATTCTCGTCGCCACGGACGTTATTGCCCGTGGCATGGATTTCCCCGGCGTCACCTCCGTCTTCCAGGTCGGCATCCCCGCCGACAAGGAGTCTTACATCCACCGTCTGGGCCGTACCGCCCGCGCAGGTGCAGAGGGCCGCGGCATCTTCATCGTTGCCGAGGTCGAGGGCTTCTTCCCGCAGTGGACCCTCAAAGAGATCACCTTTCAGACCCGCCCTGCCGACCTTTCGTCTGCTGAGGCAGTGTACGAGATTGCGGAGCAGCGCATCGATGAGGCGCAGAAGGCAAAGATTTACCAGGCTTGGCTTGGTTACTACAAGAACTGGATGAAGCCGCTCAAGTGGGACAAGGACCAGCTCGTCGCCGAGGGCAACACTTTTGCCCGCGATGCGCTCGCTTGCCCTGAGACGCCCGCGATCCAGAAGAGCACTATCGGCAAGATGGGTCTCCGCGGAACCAGAGGTCTGGTCGTCATTCCCGACGCGCCCAAGAGCCGACACGGACACCGCGGAGGCGGTGGCGGTGGCGGTGGTGGTGAGGGCCGCCCCGGTGGCTCTGGCGGTCGTGGAGGTGGAGGTGGAGGTGGAGGTGGAGGCGGCGGTGGTGGCCGCGGCGGTGGGAGACGTGGTGGACGTTTCTAGATCCTTACATCCTTTTCTTGGGGAGGCAGGTCCTGAGCTTGTTTGCAGCAGCACTACATATCTTTTGATACCCTCATACAACTGTCTACGACGGGGAAATACGGGGATTCGTATACCTGGGATACACAACATACATCTGGAGGCATTGGTGGCCGGCGTTTTCGGTATAGACGATGGGTTTTCGGTATTAGAAGTCAGAGGAAAAGTTTACTAGGCATAAATGACGCCTGGACACGAGAAAAACATAGAGATACAAAAGATAGAATAAGAGAGCGAGAGAGCCCTAGAAACGCTCTCGTCCTACTTGCCAAACATTTGATCATGACCTTCATTTACTCTAGTGGCCTCCTTACGTGACCACGTCTTACACGAACAATTCGACAGATCCTCATCCTCTCGGTCGCTCTATCCGATACACCATACACCTAACATCATCCCGTCCATGCGCAGACGTGACCGTCTCCCACGCAAACTCGAACCCGCACCTCCGCAGCACCGTTTGACTGCCCACGTTTCCATCATGGACAGGCGCCTCCAACACATCACAAAGTTCTTCCTCTCCATGCCATACTCTCTGGGTCTCGTTCTCCGGCGTTGATGACAGACTCCGTCTGCCGTCGGGCCCGTTGGCACCACCATCGGAGACCTCTTTCCCAGCAGCCCAATACGCCCCTAAAAACGCCCGCAACGCCTCAGTGGCGTACCCCCTCCCCCAAGACTCGCGTTGGAAAATGTAGAATATCTGCGGCGGGCTCGTGATGCCAATGAACCCAATCACTTTTGCCTTGACCACCTCGTCATTCCTGTCCATATCGCACTCGCTATCGTTGTCGTTGTTGTTAATTCGTTCCTCTGTCGGGTAATTTCTTGACAGAGCAAATGAGAACCCGCCCTCCTTCATCATGAGTCGTATCCTCTCGATACTCCGTCCACTCTCCTCCGCCACAGCCACAGTCTCGACGCCGGGCCTATGCGATCAACTGCATAAGTATCAGATCAGATCAGATCATTCCAGACCAGATCAAACGATCTAGAAGCCATATAGAAGCAACAGAAATGACCCGAAAGTCTAAATCTTGGGATACAGTGGGATGAGATGAGATTGGAGACGGGATATAATTGAAGAAAGGGTATATGTGACACCACATACATGTACCGCATAACCTCAAAATCCAACCTCATTCGATGAATCGCGCATAAATCACCCGCCTCCACGGGCCGCAGCCGTAACCGCGCCGTCGCGATGCAGACATCATGCTGAAGCGGCAGCGAGGCTAGGATACTTACCGCCGCCGCCGACGACGCCGTCATCATCAAAACCAAAATCAAATATACCCCTCCCCCCTTCGTCTCTGGCACCTTGTAACTTGTAGTATGGACAATCTTATTACCCCATAGGGAAATTGACGTGCCAAGCTTTCGACGATGGCTGCATGCGCACAGGTAGGGCACAGGTGGGAGGACGCTACTATGTAAGTTGTAACAAGCATTTGCTGGTCCTCTGCCCCCCAAAAAGCAAAGTATTCCGAAACTGTGCAACTGTGCAACTAGGGTCAGATCGGCAATTATTGCCCCCGTGACGAGCGTAAAGCTTATCTACAGACTATCCGTATTCATGCTTGGGAGATCTTGACAAGGTTTCGCATCCTTCGAGAAGAAAAACGAGACTCGGTTAGTCAGTCAGGAAACTGCGCCGTAACGCTACTGTAAAGTCCTGCAACCGAGCCCGAGCTTTGTGCCTTTGCAGGTTGCCGCAGCCCCCTCCATTCTGCTGCCGAACATCCCCGGGGAGGGGGGGGGGGGGGGGGGGCACAACGGCCGACACTTCTCTACACTCGCGGAGGCATCCTTCTTTTGACAGCGGGTTATGGGATTGCCCGAAGGGACACACGCAGGTCAACAGGTCAATGAGTGAGTCACGAAGCCAGATGATGATTACAGTAGTTATATTGGGGAGACTTTTCATCCAATGTCGCCTCCAGAGGTATATACATGTACGCGTAGAATGCCGCCGAGTCCGAACCCCGCCAAATGGTCACTAAACACCCAGGTCAGCTACGACACGCCATCCAGCGTGCAAACGGTAGCTAGCTTTGATAACCTGCATTGCCCGACAAACCTTGGCCGACGTAAATCTCCACTTCCGTTTGTGCAAATGCTCCAATTCACGCCCGTCCAGTCCTACTCCCTTTTCCTATCCAATAGTGTTGAAGTATGAGTACATCAGGCCAACTCTGGCCTTGAACATCTACCTGTCCGTCCAACGTCAAACATCAAACGTGGCAACAGGCTCATCATGTCCCTAACCATAGACCGACTCTGCCGCCATTTGGGTATCCACCGTTCTTGTCCTCCGGTCTCCGTCCGTCATAACCGCCATTATCCCCTTGATGTTGTTGCTGTTGATGTTGCTGCTGCTGCTGCCGCGGATCCATGCCAGGATTCTCCCCACCGACGGGACCCCCGACGGGACCGCCAGTACCGGTAGCCATCCGGTCATGCATCAACATGCCGTTGCCCATATCGGGGTAGCCTTGGCCACCTTCACGTTGATTTGAATACGGTCCAGGATTATGCTCTGGGTATTCTCGCGGCCCCGTCCCACCGCTACTAGGACTCCAGGCTGTATCATATACGGGCATACCCATCGCTGCCATATCGGAGGTGTTGCTTCGAGTCAGGCCTAGCGGGCTCATAAGGTCGACACTGCTCGCGTCCATGTCGACTCCACCCATGCCTCCTGTCAAGCGGTCGGATCCGAGGTCGATTCCCAACCCCATACTTGGTATAGTAGAAGGATGGTGCATAGAGTTACTTCCGAGGTCTAGCCTTTGTTGTTGTTGTTGTTGCTGCTGCTGATGGTTGTTGCTATTGTTCTCTTCGTTGTCGTCGAATACTTCGCCCACAACGCTCCCTCTTTGTTGTCCAACTTGTCCCCAGCCTTGCTCCATCATGTGGTGCGCCTGACCCGCGGCAATCATCGCCGCGGCGGCTGAACTCATACCGGACATGGCGGGGCTGAGTTGTGTTCGCATACTTCCTGGGTTCTCGCCGGCAGCAGTGAGAAGCTTCTCGGCAAATTGTTTCCGGGAGTTATCGCTCGCACTCAGCGTACGCACAAAGAACTCGATCGGATCCAGACTCGCCCCCTTTCGGCCACTGCCCAGGACACCCATATCGCCTGACGTAAAGTCCATGGCCGTCGAGAAGCCAACACTTTCGCATGCCCCAAGGACATTAACGCACCAGGTTCCGATTTCGAAAATCTTCTCCATAATACCCATTCCGTGAACTTCGACAGCTTTGCTGGGCAAGCTTGACAGAATCGAGGCTGTGTCACGTGCGACTGTCAGAGGGAACGAGAAACACATGCTGTTCCCACCACCGACACCGCTGCCCGATGACACCCCACCTCCCGAGTCGGCCGGGTTAGTCCAACTTAAAAGGCCTTGTCTCATCGAAGACTGCCACACGATTAGTCGAAGCCATTGTTGTGTGATAAGCAAGTCGGCTTTCTGAATGTCTGTCGGCTCTGGCGCCCCAGCATCTCGCGAAGCTGACGTTGAACCAAAAGAACCCATTAGCTGCCCATGAGGCTGGGTTGGCGGTGATGATCGCCCATGTGGGCGGAGGAACGCGGGAGGGAGGGAGAGAAGGTTTTGCAGAGCCAAAAACGTTGTTGCGCTGACGCGGGGATCAGACCCCTCATTCCAAGCCGTCACGAACGATTCGTCCAGAGGGGTGTAGGATGAAACGAGCTGCAGAAAACCGGCATGAATATCAGGGCCTTCGTAGGGATGCCGTGTTGTTGGTAGCGACGGTGTTCTCTTGAACGTAATCGGCTTATTGCGGAGAATCGCAAAAGACCTATGTAGCACAGGGTGCGTTAGTATCCCGGATGTGGCAGCCACGTTCACTCTGGTATCGCCCAACGGCCGCTTGTTACTAACCTTTCTGTTACGAAGAGAATCCAGAAAACCCTCTGCCGGCATAGCGTTTCCTCGCGACTCAGCCCGTAGTATGTTGAATCGTCCTGGAGTCCTAGGTCCTGTGCGTTGGTCAACGCCTCCCGGAGGTAATACCACGATTTGCGCGATTGGTTGATCTCAAAGAAGGATGTGCTCAGGTAAAAGGACGAAATCACGGCGGACAGGGACAAATCCTCGAGGAAGTCGTACGTCTGCCTCGTTGAAATGGTTTCGTCTAGGAAGAAGCGACCGACAACTTCCCAAGACGTAGGTCCAGGCGCACCGATGCTTTTACCAGACATGTGCATCGACGTTAAGGCGCACAGGGCGTAGATCAGGTTCTTTTCGCTCGGCGTCATGGGTCGGTTGATCGTTTCGCGGACGGTCGGCATGTAGATGAGGGGCATGATGGGGTAAATGTGCTCGTAGTATAGTTCGACCAACTGGGGGATCATGTGGAAATAGCTCCTCGTTCTCGGTCGTAGTTCATCGCTCGAAAAGATGCCTCTGGGCTCCGGTACGTTGCTGTGTCCTGGGTTCGAGGTAACGGCGGCCCAAAAGCTCGGCGGGGTCGATGCTGCGGACGCGTTGGACGAATGTTGAGATGTCGCTTCGCCGAGGTCGCTACCGCTCATCCCGATGTCGACGCTGTCTAGGTTCAGCGGCGGGCATGCTGCTGATAATCGACGCCGCACATACTCTGTAGGACTCTCGAGCGCATTTTCTGCATTGAAAGGTTTCTGGACTTTTGAATGCTGCTTTCCTTGGGACGACTCCCTGGCGCGCAACTCATTTATGACCCGTCCGTGGCCACGCTTCGGTCCCCTCTTCTTGGGGACATGTTCGCGCTTGCAGGTGAGTGAAGCGTGCACGCATTGCTCACAAGGGAACTTGCCATCGCAACGGATTCCTACAGCCAGTTAGTTTTCATGAGCTCCATCGTATGAGAAACGAGAAGAACGAAAGACGTGGCAAGAGACGTGAGTTGCGGACATGAAATGGACAATTCTCGGTGATGAATATGAAGATGGTGATGACGTGCAGCAAAGCAACGTCAGCAGCAGCGGCAGCAGTAGCTAAGGCGGGATGGTACCATGAAGCCGACAGATGGACTGTCCGGGCGGCAGACTGCTAGGAAGAGGGAGAATCGCACGAAAGTTCATGAATGCGAAGGCCGGCAGGGGGATGCAAATTGAGATACGACGATAATAATGTGAGAGAAGTGGAACAGCATACTTCTCCTTCGACAGTGATCGCATACAGTTCTCTTTGGCGGCGCTGACTGTTGTTGGTGGTGGTGCTGCTGCTGGCTCTTGGTAGTGGCGGCAGTGGTGGTCGCGCCTGGTGACTCGGCCTTCACTTCTGCAGAGCCCGCTCTGCTCGCAGCATTTCTCGCGGAATCTGTGTCGTCCATCACTCAAAACATGACGCAATAAGAATAAGAGAGCAGTCGAGAAAAGGGAGAAGGCAGAGACAGGCTCAGGAATCTTGTCACAGGGGTGACGGCCGTTAAAGAGTTTGAGCGAGAGATTTCGCGGTGGAGTGATGATTTGTCGCAGGCCAGCAGAAAACCAGTGCAGTGCAGAAGCAGAACTGTCGTGGAGCAACAAGCCTCGACTCGGACAGTGCTGCAGCCCAGCCTCCCCCCGGTCAAAAAGCCAGTTCCAGTCCACTCTCGGCCGCCTCAGCCCCTCACCGGCAAGGGAAGGGGAAGGGGAAGGAAGCTAAGGTAAGGTAGGGTCGGTAAGGTGTGGCCTAGCTGTGAAGTGAAGTACGTAGGATACGGAGGAAGGTAGGTATGTATGTACGGATAGCGTAGCGTAAGTAGCGTCTCTCGTCAGTCCTCGCCTCATCAGTCGAGGTGTCGGTAGCTGGCTGGTGGATGGCGTCGGGGGGTTGTCTTGTTGGTTGTCGCTAGCGCATGAAGGTTTGTTGGTTGCTGCTCAGCTTCTCACTCCGTGTTCGATGTCTGCTCGATGACCGTCGGGATCGGCTGTCGGTCTTGCCCTGTCCTGTCCAGTTTCTGTCCAGTCTTGTCTCGTCTCGTCTGGACGTCCAGTATCTGTCTGTCTTCCTGTCTCGTCTTCCGTTGCGCGTGCGGCGTGCGGTGCGGCGTGCAGCTTGCGGCTTGCCTGTGCAAATGCGGGGAAAAAAGAAACGACAGTTCGAGGCGAATGAGAAGCGGAGAGAGAAGGGGGGAAAGGATGAGGGGCGGCCACGAGCAACAGGAGGGTTGCTGCCGTTTCTGTATCCGTACTGAAGGTTGAAGTATACTGTGTAGGTAAGTAGGTAGTAGTAATAGTCGTAGAGCTGAGGTAAAGGTCGTGTGAGGCGGTCGTCTTGTGAGTCAGCTGATGAAGAAGTTGAGAAGAAAGATCGATCTGACGATGACCATGGATCAAATCGACGGATGACCTTGGAGATGTGCGGGGGAAAAGGGTTCAAGACCAATCAACTTCGGATGAGCTGCACAACGGAACGGCAACGGCTCAAAATATGGCAAATGGCCAGAAGAAACGAGGGAACAAATAAGTCGTCCTAGACGTTCGAGTCCGTGTTGCCCCCTTGGTAGCCCTTCTCTCGTTTGGGGCTTCAGCTGAGCTTTCTTCAGTCCCAAGTTTGCCAGGGACCTGCAGCTATTTTGGATCAAAATGATTTGCGGCGCTATTCCGGCCCCTCTGCGAACGGAGCCATTTGTCTGGCTCCTGGAGACGTGCCCGGCATCCGCCCGCTCATGCCAAGCTCCATCAAAATCCTCCACTGAGTACCGCCGAGCGGAGCTAACCGCAGGCACCATCCCCGCCGTTATGGACCACATGTGCGAGCTTTGTTCGTGACCGCCAGCCAGGGAGCCCCGGGGCAACCGCGTCGTGGGCTCAGTCTGCGTTGACTCCAGCGTCAGGGACTCAAGCTCGACTCGAGCTCCAGAGATCCAAGATGCTTAATTCTTTCCTCGGGTGCCCAAACTCTGCTTGCCATGCCACGTTTCGACCTCGTTCCGGAAACCAGTCCCCGAGACCTTTGAATCACTTCATGGTCCAGTTATGTCTGCATGTCTGGGACTTTGTTATGGTCTGGTCTGGGGTGGCCTCATCACGCCGCTTCGTTGGAATGTACGTGGCCATCGAAAGAGAGCCTCGGGGTCCGCAACCAAAAGCGCGCGTTCGCGTTGCATCAGATGTCGAGTCCTCGAGTCGAATGCGGAACTTCCCAGGCTTCCTGATCATCACTGTATACCTTGCATGTACAGCGACTCGATGCAATTTGCGCGGTTGAGGCGGTTTGTAGACGATATAGGGTCGTCGATCTATCCCCGTCCATTACGACTCAATGCCTGTTCATTTGCAGCTGTCAAAATCTTGTACGTGCTCAAATGAGGGGTTTCTGGGGTCCTGAACATTCCAGAACGATCCGATTCAGGGAAATTGCTCTGATGCCGCCGGCATCAGAGGGCATCAGAGCAACGGCCCCTGACATGATGCGGAGGTGGCTCATCGAACTGTAAAGACAAGGCAGGGATCGCCCAGCTCGAATGTCAATCAGTCTTGGACGACAGTGGTGTCAAAAGCTTGGTATCATAGCGTTGCAAAGAAGTTGGGGTCTATTTCGAAACCAATATCGAGTCCCGGAGTCCCCGATGATGGGTGCTGTAAGAGCAATATCGACAACGGGTTCACGGTTAGCTGCGGTTGATCGGGAGCGTTGTAGAGAGCCGCGCGCGCGGACCTCATCCGCCCTGCGAGGCAAAGCATTGACTTGATGATTTTGTCGACAAATACGGAGTATAGTACGAAGTACTGGCCGCTGGTACGTGCTCCCAGCAAGGCCGAGAAGATCAGTGGTGTCGATGATGGACTCGGCGATGGCCTTGGCGTTTCTCTTCCAGCGGCGCCGAGAAAGTTGAGCGAACAATAGTGGATACCGGACTCGGCAGGAATCTCCTGAACGGTCCTGACCTAAGGTGATGATCAAAACCCAACATGAGGAACCGGCATGCGGCTTCGTTAACTGGCCCGCGTATTCTTGGTCGAGGAGGTCGAGATAGGCAGCCGGCCGAAAACGCCGACATACGTACGCCGTCAAAGGGGGTTGTCGTTGTGTTCCCGAGCCGACCCAGAACGAGGGCGTGATATTTCTGCTTGCAAGTTGCAAGGGGCAGGATGTAGGATTGACGCTTTGTCGTCCTACCCACTTGGCTGGAACTCTCTAAGCTGCTGCCCAGTCGAGGTTGTCATGAACGATGGGCAGCCGGAAATCTCTTCTTCCAGCTGGTAATATCGCCTAGACTAGCTCAATCGGAGCATAAACTTTGTTAACGGGCGCTGCCGCCCAATGTGTCCTCCACTCACATCCACATTCACCTTGTCTGTAATATCCTTCCTAACCAAGAGGTTGCATTTCGGGGGGCGTGCCAGGGCCTTGGGTCGAGTGGATAAATTTGTCGGTTGAACAATTGTCAATTGAACAGCCTGACCTTCGGACGACGAGTCCGTGGCTTATACACATGGCGAGTCCCGAAAGCATATGACAATGGCAAGCCATCCCTGCCAAGAACTTATATCTCGAACTTGTGTTGAGACATACAACGATAAACCCGAGCATTGCTTCGGACGACGGATAGAAGTCCATGTCCGAGACGGTAGGATGGTATACGAAGTAGATCGGAGTAACGGGCTGTGACAATATCCAGCCGGGTCAACGATTCAACTCAGTCGACGAGGACTCAGTAGCCCGCAGCCAGCAGCCAAAAATGATGGCGAATCGGCAGTCGGGTGGTTTAGTGAAACTTCTAGGTACACGACAGGCGCAGGGGAAAAGTGCCGATCCCATTTTGCTGAGCCTTGCAAGTGCCGACTTTGAGTTGATGTTGCAATCATGGCCGGTAGGTGACTCCGAGAGGGTGGTTGTGCTTGTGCAATGCGTGTGTGTGTGCGGCGTGCCCCTGAACCGACGATGCCGAAGAACCTGTCCCGGCAGAACGGTTATGCCCTTGAATTATCAATCCCAAACTCATTTCAAGATCCTGGAGAAGCTTAAGACGTGACATCTTGGCTGGGCCCTGAAAATAGACTAGACACCAGAAGTTGAAGCCAAGACTTCAGAGTCAACTCCTAAAAGTCTGAAGACTGGCTCTCTCTCCGAGTTGAGTTGTGTTGCTGGGTCGTATCGCGTCTAGGCTCTACTCCGTAGGTGCGATTGATAGAGAGAAACTCGGAGACGCTAAGCACTGCCTGCCCGCCAAGGATCAAGAACTTAGTGGCTGCCAAGCGGTAGTGCACAGGGCGGCAGGCAATGCGACGGGCAAAGAGGCCAAGGCGAAAACGACATGTCGTATGTAGTGTGGGCTTTTGACGTTGCTAGCTTGCACAGGTCTCCCCGTAGGCTCGTACCCAGGGAACTGGCAATATGATGATTTGAAGTCTAATCTGCGACAGATAGCTTCACAGTCTTAACTGCCCAGGCAGGCAGATGATCAAGGGCTCAAGGCGTCAAGGGGGCATACGTGTTCCAATAACTTACCACGGAACTCCGCCTCCTCCGGATTCTGCCTCATGAAAACAAAGACAAAGAAAAACTCTCCATCAGGGTTGGATCGAAACTTCGAATGGCAGCTCTTCCCGGAGCCAGTCCCGGATACCGGGGAAGAGGGCTGAGAGATTCTGGGCCAGCGTGAGGGAGTTTACGAGGGGGGCAGGCTAGACATGGCGATGGACCATGATTGAAATTTGGGCCGAGATTGGGGATGAAGAGGAAAAGTCAAAGATGTGCAGATCGCAGATTTCCTGCCTCAACTCCCATGTTGTTATTTGTCAACGTTTACGACGCCGGCGGGAGACGAATTGATGTCCGGCTACCGGTGCCTGCCTCACTGACGCTCTGGGTCTGAGCACGTGTATCCGTTCCTTCCTCTAAGGTAAGGTACATAGGAGCAAAGGGCAAATCACGGCGGGGATGCCTTCCTCCCACGTCTCGGAAGGATATGATGCCGGGTGCCGCCCTCCGGTCCGGCAAGTGGGATGCCCCGTCCATGTCCATCGGATGGTGCCTTCCGTCACCACCTCCCGTCTTCCTGCCTTCCATGTCGACTTAGGCTGTCAAGGCAGGAACTTTGCTATGCTCTTCTCCAGAAAACCCGGCAGGTCCCGGACGTGACTTTCCGAATAAACAACTCCAGTCCGGCCACGGTGGTAGTCCGGTGGGAATGTAATCACGCCTTACCGCGGGCGACCATGGAAGCCGCGGGGTGACTAGTGGTAAACTGGTAATCAGATTATCTAAAAGGCCAAGCATTGTCGTGGGCAGAAGTCTCGGCGTTCCTCGAGACGAGACAGGAACGTTCGTCTCCGCATGGAGGACAGAGTGGATTTCGAATTCCATGGCACCGACGGTATGGCTCGTTCATTTGCGCCTGTAGGGTTGATCGTGGAAGAGAATATTCAACGATTCAACAAAATTTACTTGACCGTTACATTCCTCGGTCTTCAGTAATCAATGCCGGTATCGTCTTACACGAGGCTGCTCCATATGAAACAGACGGAGTGAAGTTGCCAACATCCCTGCCATCTCCTTACGCAGCAAAGCATCGAGATGATGGCCTAGACCGCGATCAAAACCAGACCTCGTTGAGATCCGTGATGAAGGGCAGTCGACACCATGACCCTGAAGATCATAGCAGTCTAGCTATTGTGGACCCAGTGTGAGTCTAATCAACCAAGAAGTGGTCCAAAACATTGCCCTTTCGGGATCCCGTTGTATTGAACGGGATACCGAGTCCGGGTGTGACATCGAGTTGCTTCCAAGTCCGACGTGCCCAGTAGATCAAGAGAAGTCAACATCGGCCTGCCTTACTAGTGATTCCCACTCGACGCCCGCTGAATGACTATCATCTTGGATTGAACACGCGTGTTATCGTGTTGCAAATAGTTCCCGACAAGTCCGGTTGCTGCCCAAGAAAACAGATTGGTTTATTGCTTTATTAGTTTAGTTTCCGAATAGTTTGAAAACCGATCAATACAAGAACCGGATCTGAAAACCGAACAGTCTCAGAACCGAATAGCCCGAGATCCGAATAAATGAAACCCGACAGCCTGAAAACCGAACAGCCCAAAGACCGAATGAGCAAGAGACTGTGGAAGAAATCCTTCAGTTTTCTGACGCTTTCGTGTAATCACAAAAGCAAGCAGTGGTCCCTAGAGACAGACGTGTGTAGTTGAAGAGACTCTTGAGAGCATGTGGGCAAACGTGTGGTCCTTCGTATCATTCAGCATAGTAAGACAAGTAAACATTCCAAAACGCCAATGCTGGGCCACCGAATCAGGGGGGCATCAC